GTGCTCCATCCACACGGCTGGACTTGGCATAGAGGGCTGTCAGATGAACACCACAGAGCCGGCTGAGCCCCAGCACAGGTCTGTGTGGTGCTGGCTCTGCACTCTTGCTGGATGAGCCTACAGTTTTGCTCTCAGTGAGTCCATCTGGCTGCATTCTCTGTTCCTTCACCAGCACATTGACACCCAGAGAGAGGCTAATCACCCCATTGTCTTCTGTGAGCACTTCAATTTGCTTTCTCATGTGTTGCTAATATCATTGTTTCTGCGAATGTTGTTTTAAACATCTTCCAAAAAATAAAAAATCACTTGGAATCCGTGGCTTTCTTTCTCCATGAGTGTTAGAATTTGCTGCAGTACGAATTCCAAGCAATTGGGAACAGTGTGTTTGATAAACTCAGCTGTGCCATCGCTCTGGAGACATGCTGAGCAGAAGCACCAGATGCACTGGGAGGTGTGTGGCAGAGCCTGGGAGAGCCGGGAGGCCTGCCTCAGCAGGAGATTCTGAGAAGCAGAGGAGACCTGAACAGGACTGGTGGGTTCTGCCTCAGCAGCTGGCTCTGCTTTTGTTCAGCCTGCAGAGTCGTGGCCAAAGGGACATCCTCCTGGCTTTGCAGGTCTCCTGTTGCTCCTGGTAAATGCTGCTACTACATCATCTACTGTCTGGGACTGGCAAACTGTCCTGTAGGATCCTCAGCCCTTCAGACGCTGGGGACCAGAGCTGTGCTGTGCAAGTTGTGCTCCGTGCCTAACAGAGCTGTAAGGCCGTGCTCCATCCTACCTTGGAGTGTCGACGTGTCTTCTGCAACATTAACCAGCTAGTGCAGGAGGTAGGCTCTCCCAATTCGAAAGCCGGGCCCTCTGCTCCACAGGCAGTAGAATACACCCCTGCACTGTGGATTGCTGCTGCCGGTGGAGACCGACCGTCTGGCTCTGGAAAGGTGCAGCAGACACCTTGAGAGGGAGAACTTGTGCCCCACTGGACCCTGTCACCTGGACCCTCACCCAGCATTGGTCTCCCTGAGGAGCCAGCGGGGGGCGCTATGAGCTGGGGAGACTTGAGATCAGGACCCCAAGCCCAGGGTCAGGGTGCACCCAGCTCACAGGGTCTCAGTTGAAGCCGCATTCATTCACTCTGAAAGGCATCAGTCTTGGGTGGAGAATTAGGTAAGGGGTAAACCAGCATCTCCAACAAAACACAGAATCTCTCCAATATACCTAAAACCCCTCATTTCCACCTCTTGGGGCCTTGCCTGCCTCCTGAGCTGCAGCCTGACAGTCCCGGCCTAGATTTCCTGTCAGTGCAGAGCACACACACTTTCTGGCGAGTTGTGTTGGCTCAACATACTCTTGAGCTCTATCCACGGCTTTGCAGGTCTCACAGCCGTTTCTTCACTTCGACTGAATGGTTCCCTGAGTATGAACATGCCCCGGATGTCCATTTCCCCTTGGTATTCTTCTGAATTCTTTCCAGTCTCTGACTATTATAAATAAGGTTAAGAAGTGCAAATTATTGTCTTTACGTATCTTTTCATTTCTTGTGGGTAAATATTTAAAACAGAGTTGCTGGACCATAGTGCCCATATTTTTTACTTAAAATGAAGCAAAACTTGCAGGCAGGGTTTGAAAGTAGTTTATCACTTGTCGTGGTTTAGAAGAGGTGCCCCCAAACCTCCTCTGTGAGACGATGTTCAGCGGTGGAGTGATGGGGTCACGAGATCCTTAACCTAGTCAGTGCATCAATCCACTTGAAGGGGTTAACTGAGTAGTAACTGTAGGCCAGTGGGGCATGGCTGGAGGAGGGGGTCCCTGGACGCGACTTTGGGGTCTCTCTCTTGTCCCTGGTGAGCTGAGCTCTCTGCTTCCTGGCCATCATGTCTCGAGCAACTCCGCTCGTCCACACCCTTCCACCATGACACCGGCCTCACCGCAGGCCCAGAGCGATGGCGTTGGCTGATTCTGGACTGAAAGCTGTGAGCCAAATGAGCTTTTCCTCCTGCTGCTTTGTTCCTGTTGGTCTTTTGATGACGGTGTGTGATCCTGGGCCCTGGCATCCTGACACCCTCCACCCTGCGTCACTTGGAGAGAGTGTTCAGGGCTTCACCAGCACGAGCAGACTTGGAGCAAGGCCTCCTCCAGGAGAATGCAGCCCTGCAGGGACCCAACAAGCTAGCTTTAAGTCACTGGATTTTTGTGGCTTTATTATGCAATAACAGATCACTGAAGTAGAAATCGATTTTGTTTTCAAAATTCTTCCCCTAGAGAACAATGTAGCCTAGACCACTCCCTGAAGGATGTCATGACATTCGTGGAGAAGTAGAGCATTCTGTGGAAACAGCTCATGAAGTGGAGAAGCAAGGCACAGCTCACAGCCCACTTCACAAGGCCACTGACCCTGATGTGAACGATGAACAAGGATGTTTATCACAGAGAAAAGGACGTCAGGTCCACAGTCCTCGTGATCACAGGAGCACAGGTCCCTCAGAGGCCAGGGGCGATTGAATCAAGAAACACACAGACTGGAAATCAAACTAGTACTAGGTGAGTTCCGTTCCAAGACCGCAGAGTCGGTCTACAGTGGCCAGCCACACTCACTAGCTGAACACAGCAGGGAACACCACCGTCTCTGGAGAAGGTGCTTACAATGAGGAAGTACTCGGGAAAGCAGGGGTGGCAAGGACCTTCCTCTGATGAAGGCCACTCGTGAAAGTGCTGCGGCAGCAGAGTCCTTCTCCAGGATCCAGAATGGGCCATCCTGCTCCCACCCATTTCACTCCACCCAGAACTCAAGGTTCTGGCCAGAAGCAGATCCGGGGGGCAGATGTAAAAGATTGGGATTAGAACTGAGTACATATTGATTGACCAATTCAAATATTTACTTAAAAACAACATAGTTGTTTACATAGAAATTTCCACAGAATCCGATTTCCACTGGGAATGATCTGTTGAGGGCTGGTGAAGCCGTTGCTCACAGTCCAGGAGGAGCCTGGACTTAGGTGGCAGACACACATCTTTTATTTCAGGCCACATGTTAATAAAAGAGCATGTTTACTGTGGAAGAACCTCAGACCCTGCTAACCACTAATGACATTGGTGATGGCAGTGAAGGTCACCAGCCATGCGCCTCTGAATGCCATGCCACGGGGACAAAGCAGCCCTGAGGATGTGGCCTGTGCGCTCCAGGATCCAAATCTAACCATGAAGATGTGTTTTCAAAGACAGTCAGGAACACTCTGAAACCTTTGTTCTCAGCCAAGAGTCAAGGAAGGCCAAGGAAGGAGGTCTTGAAAACTAAATGCCAGGGCTGGAGCTGTGGCTCAACGGTGTAAATAAAACAAATGTAATGTGTCTAACTACAACTAAAAAAATAAATATTAAAAAATTATTTAAAAAAAAAACCCTAAATGCCCTGGGAGACACAGGTTGAGGAGGTCCCAGGGGCTTCCAGCGAGATTCAGAGGTGAGGCTGGAGGCAAGCCGTATGCAGCACGGAAGGTCAGAGTCCTGTTCGCCAACAGCCCAGGCCCCAGGTCCTCTGCCCCTCACCCACCAAGGCCCCAGGTCCTCT